TTTTGCAATGTACACACGTCTCTTTAAACCGACAGTACTTCTTCTGGTGACCTATTTTGAGACATCCAAAGCAGAGTCCTTGGACTTCAGGAAACTGATTCTGTCATCATGTGATTGTGCTGCCAACAGGCGACAGGCTTCCATAGCATGACTTGTACCATCACAATATATACATGGCTTGTCTTGAGGCTTCCTTGCTTGCTGAACATCAGTAGCACTCTTCTCATTCTCTTTATAACAAGAAGTTTCCTTTGGGTCTTGTTTCTGAGTATTTTGTGGTGCATCTGTAACCGTAGCAAAACTTGCCTTAGATGCTCTAGATTGTTGTCGTCTTTGGTTGCCGTCCTTGTTTTTGCCCTCTTCATGGTCAGTCCTGAGTGCATCTTTGCCATATATAGGGTCATTTACCTTTTTGGCTTCTTTCTTAATGAACTTTACAAGGACTCCAAACTCAACAATATCACCCCTTTCTTTAATGCCTTGCACAACACCTCTCCACTTCTCCTGCAGACTGGATGGTAACTTCTTAACTAGACTTGCCATGTTTTGGGGAAATTGTATTATTTTCACTGCATCAATACTTTGAACAGCATATTCGCATTCTTGTAGAAAAATGGAAAACGCATCCAATGCCTTCACATCATGAGCCTTTATGCTTGGCCAGCGTAAAGCTTCTTCCACATATGAGTTGGCAATCACCTCATTATCACCATACCTTTCTTCCAGTTCCCTGCGGGCAGCTGGATATCCCTGTTCTGGACTCAGATTACCATACCCAGTTACAATCTTATTTGCTTCTCCCACTGTGTATAATTCTAAATAATTCATCAGCTCCTCTGCGTTACTTGTGTTAGCTACAACTCTGGAAGTGAACTGACGCATAAACTTTCTATATTGCATAGGGTTACCACTAAATTTGTTGATGTCGGATTGGGGTTTCTTTAATTCCCGCACAACTGCCAAAATGACTTCATCAGATGATTTGTGATTAGAGACAAGGGAACCGGAATCAGAATCACTCCGAAGACCACCCACGCGGCGCATGTCATGCACACTGCCCGCAAAGCCAGGGCCGCAATTATTGTGCACACTATCACCCCGCGCATAATGCATAGAATTCGCGCTGCGCTCATCAACACGCCTGTCACATGAAATGAACTCACCTCTATCCAGTGCTGGTGCCTTCACAACCGGTCGTGACTCATCATGTTTCCAATCTTTGGCAGGCTGTTCATCAATGCAAATATTATCTTGACATCTTGAATCATATTGTTCTTGTTTTATCACTTGATGTCTGTATGGTATATAGTCTCTACTCTGCTGATCATATCCACTTAATTCAAATTTATCGAGAACTTTGGTCTTTGCCTCTGCGATGGCCATCTCTGTTTCCAAGGCTAATTTTTCCTCTCGCAACTTTAAAGCTATTTTTGCTTCCTCTTGTTGAATTCTTTCAATCTCCAGTTTCTTGCGCTGGTCTAATGCAGCAACCCTAGCCAACAGTTCTGCTTTACGCTGTTCTTCCTTCAATCTAGCAGCAGATAGTGAACTGGATCGAGAAGAGGCTACACTACTTTGATATCTTCCTAATCTATTTCGTGTATAAGTACCAACACTGGAAACGCTGTCTTCTGGACTTATTCTGTGTGTCTTCCTTGATTGAGAATCTTGTTTACTAATCCAGTCACTCACTTTACGGTTAAAGCCTTGAAACGCCCTGTCATGCTTTTCAAACCAACTTGACTGAAATTCCCACTGCTCTTGGCCGGACAGGTATTTGACATATGCATCATGGGTATCCAGAAATTCTTCATATACTTCCATCCATGCTGTATATTTTTTTCTCACAACGTTTACATCTGTGGGTGTTTCCATTTGACCCAGTATTTGGTCTGTCATGGCATGCAGCTGCGTGCACAGTGACTTCAGTTTCTTTCTATTAATTTCCATTGCATATTCAAAACCTTTATCAGTGGGTATTTTTATCCGGGTACTGCGACGGACATCTGAATGATCACTACTCACGTGACTTCCCTTTCTGGCGGACCCTTGTGCACCAAGTGTTTCTTTGATGAAACTACGCATACTCAAATTTGGGTCAGTATATCGATGATCCATGTTCAAGACAACAACTTGCCTATTACGTCAATAGAATGTAGGACGCAAACAAAAAGGCTAATGATCGGTCCCTTGTTGGATTATTGGGAGTTGTCAATGCGCTCTCCAAAAATATAAGAAACAAATGTCCGAACATAAACTTGACACTTTATTCCTTTCCACCACTGAGAAACGATTGACTGAAAGGTATACAGAGAAATAAAGCACATAAGTAAACAATACATTTCACGTAATCGATTGATATGCATAGTATACATGTACATTTTGTACAGTAATATTACTATCATCACAGTTAGCGACTACCTCACAAAAGGTAAAGATATCACAACACATCTTAGAAATACATGGAATTACACGCAGTAGATCGTAAAGCGTAAAGACTAGCGTGATCGGTAAACACGAGTCACATGTATACGAAGCAATGACCTCAAACAAACGTTGCAAAAGTCAGCAGTTCGTAACAAAGAAATCATATTTATGCTCACCGTAATATTAGACCCCAACAACCAACAACCTAAACTTTGCTTAGTGTAGTTCACTCGACTGCTGTAATTCATGCAAATGCGTCAAAACACCAGCAAGATATGATGCGATCCGCCATTTCTCTCTGCTTTTTCCCGGTGCTATAAATAGCCACCTTACCAAATCTCAACTACAGAGGGCGATGGACTGTACAATAGCAAATTAGTATAACGTTATTTGGCCATAACATCCCGGCCTCCTAATTGTGTAAATACTTGAAACAATTACAAATAAGAAAGAAGGACAAATAAATCAACATGAATACGATGAGTCCATCGCATGTAACAACATGTGTTGATGCCAAAAAAGGAACGCTGCGAGCAAAAACGGGTACATAGTGCACACAACGCAAACAACGCAAACAACACAAACAGCGCGCAAAACACACACAGCCAGGATAGCCCACACAGCAATCCGACCCACAGGCTCCCAGATCTCCAAACCGGATATCCTGAAACAGTCATCCTGGAAAGTCAGAAAGTCAAGTACCACCACAGACAACATCAGCTTCCAAAATTATGCACAACTTGTCAATAGGATGTTCAAGGACATTTGAGCTTGTTTTCACTTTGGCTACTCTGACCAAGTCATTGCGGTCCCTCATAACTTCAATAACTCTTCCCATCGGCCAGGAGTTCCTTGGTGATGAGTTGTCTACCACCAGAACTGTATCATCTACTGCCAGGTTTCTCCGAGGTTTTAACCACTTCTGGCGCTCTTGAAGCATTGGTAGATACTCTCTTAACCACCGTTTCCAAAACATGTCTGCGAGATATTGGATCTGGCGCCACCTACGACGTACATAATTATCATGACTTTGGAACACTCCTGGTGGTAAACTCTGATTGGACTGAAGAAGTAGCAAATGATTTGGCGTAAGTGGTTCTAAGTCATTCGGGTCATCTGAAAGCTGTGTTATTGGCCGACTATTTATAATGTTTTCCACTTCACAGAACAATGTAGCAAGACCCTCGTCATCCAAGTGAATGACTTGTTCTTTCAACAATCCAAAGTGAACCTTCCACACCGTTCTGACTTGTCGTTCCCACACTCCACCGAAATGGGACCCAGCTGGAGGGTTAAACTCCCATCTAATATTGCTTTGTTGTAATGTTCCAGAGATTCTACTATGGTTCCACCTATTTATTTCATCACGTAACTCATGATTGGCTCCAACCAAATTTGTTCCATTATCCGACCGCACAATCTTGACCTGACCTCTTTGTGCCATGAATCTGCGCAATGCATTAATGCATGAGTCAGTAGTAAGCGAATGAGCCACTTCTAAATGTATAGCTCTGGTTGCCAAGCACGTGAAAACAACACCGTATCTCTTGATAACACTCCGAGCACGTTTAACTAATATAGGTCCAAAATAATCCACACCACTACGTGTGAAAGGGGGTTCATCTGGTGTTAAACGGTCCACAGGCAAACTTGCCATCTTTTGCTCACCAGCTTTGGCTCGATATCTGCGGCATATAACACATTTCGAGATAATTCTCCGAATGATTGTATTTGCACAAAGGATCCAAAAGTGTTGCCTTAGCTTAGCTAACAACGAATTCCTTCCTAGGTGCCCAACAGTTTTGTGTACGTCTTGCAAAATTAGATTTGCTACAGGAGAATCCTTAGGTATAATAATTGGATGCTTCTCATCATCTGACAGTGCTGCACGATGCAGGCGTCCACCAACTCTGATAAGACCATCTTCCAGAATTGGATCAAGTTTATAGACACGGCTTGTCTTCTTAACAGTCATTCTAGTCTTACTATGAAGACCTTTGAGAAGTATATCCAACTCATCTTGGAAGTGTCTTCTTTGTACATAAGTCACAATGCATCTTTCTGCCTCTTGTAGTATGTCGATATCAAGAGATGCAGACTTGAGGTTTACTCTGGACCTCATTTTTCTCATCTTGTCATCAACAAGCTGCTCTTGTTTTTTAGGATCTACATCTGCAGAGATACTTTCTCGCACTTGTTTTCGCAGATTGGCCCAATGTTGTAAATTTCTCTTACCAGTTAAGATCCATCCAACTGTCCGCTTCAGTGACATCCAGCTTGAAAAACGAGAAATGAGACTACTCATGAAGCTAGATTGCTCATCTATCAGAACAACATTTGAGAGCTTTTTCACTTCAGGATCCTCATCATGAATCCTCTCTAAGACTACTTGATTCTCTGGCCATTCCGATTCTGGAGACCACAGAAAATCAGGACCAGTAACCCATCTCTTGCATTTTATGAAGTCAGTTATTATCAAACCCCTTGAAGCATCATCTACTGGGTTTAATTTCGTATTTATGTACCTCCACTGAGACACTTCTGATTCCTCACGAATTGTAGACACACGGTTAGAGACAAACGTATGGAAGCGTGTAGTCTCATTAGTGATGTATCTCAGCACTGACATGCTATCTGTCCAAAAATAGGACTTGTCAATGTTGTAATCCAACTCTCTCTTCAGTTTCTCATTCATTTGTACTGAAAGCGTTGCTGCAGTCAGTTCCATGCGGGGTATCGTCACCTTTTTAAGGGGTGCAACCCTAGATTTTCCCAGAAGTATGGAGCAATGAATTTCTCCTCTCTTATTGACCAGACGCAGATACGATACCATCCCATATCCTTGTTCACTGGCATCACTGAAATTATGTACTTGACATGAAAGTACTTCGCCAAAATGTTTAGGTTTATAACACCTCGCAACTGAGAATGACTCCAATTTTGGCAAGCCAGACAGCCATTTATGCCACACCTGAAGACCAGCCCCTTCAATAGGCCTATCCCATCCACTGCCTTGCTGCCACAAGCTTTGTAAAAGTATTCTTGCTGGGAGTATAAATGGTGACACAAGGCCGAGAGGATCATAGATGGAACTGACGATGGACAATATTCCCCTCCTAGTGGTTGGTCGGTCTTGCACAATAATTTTGAAGCCAAGCATGTCTGGTTCAACCAACCAAAGCACGCTCAACAGGAAGATCATCATAGTCGAGGTTAAGTTGCTTAACTTCCTTTAGAACGCTCTTCAGTCTGAATCGATTCCAAGACAACGCGACTGTTACTCATCCATTTTGTTAGGTTAAACCCACCTCGTTGACACAGATCTCTCAGGTCATGTACCAAACTTATAGCCTTAGTTTCAGATTCTACAGACTTTAAACAGTCATCAACATAGAAGTTTCTGAGGACTGTATTCACGACATCTGCACCAAAGAAGTTTTTGTTGTCTTCAGCGGTTCTTTGAAGTGCAGTATTGGCACAGCTGGGGGAAGATACCGCCCCAAACAAATGAACTGTCATGGCATATACTTCCGGTTGTCTGTCTAAGTCACCATTAGGCCACCACAAAAACCGCAGACAGTCACAGTCACCTTTTGGGATCCATACCTGATGAAACATTGCTTCAATGTCAGCCATCAAAGCGACGGGCTCTTGTCTGAAGCGTAGCAACACACCAAGTAAGTTGTTTGTTAAATCTGGCCCTTGTAACAGATGATCATTCAATGCTGTTCCCTGGAACCTGGCTGCACAGTCAAAAACAACACGTATCTTCCCTGGTTTTCGTGGGTGGTAAACACCGTGATGAGGAACATACCAAACTTTACCATCACTTCTACCAAGTTTATCTTCATGAACTTTCACTGCATATCCTTTACTAATAATGCTTTCCATGAAGGCTGTGTAATCCATGTAGAATTCAGGATACTTTCTCAACTTCTTCTCAATACCTTTAAGTCGTTTGGTAGCATATTCTTTGTTGTTTGGCAGCTTCACATCATCATCTCGAAACGGTAAACTTATCTGATAATGTCCATTAACATAACTGATGGATTCATTCACTTTCATTGTGAACATCTTGTCTTCCTGGGAGGGCTCCCTCTTGTCGTCAACTGCACGCTCAGGAAAATCAAAATTGATAGAGCTTCTTACCATAAGGTCCAACTGCTTCAGCTCTTCTGATTCCTGTACAGCAATAATATCAGCTCTGTTAACTGTGTAGCTACCTTGCTCTCTGTTATCTTCACCGCAAACTACATTCCACAAAGTCCACCCAAGACGAGTTCTGGAGGCATGAGGACTACCTTGTGGACCGGTGACTATTTCCAGAGGCATGTATGCATCTGGTATCGCATTCCCAATCAACAAACCCACATCAGCGTTAATCTGGGGGACATGAACTCCCTGAAGATGGGACCAATGAGAAATATCATCCTGGGTTGGAATGTAATGTCGAGACACTGGCATCTTATCCTTTGTGTAAACCTTTGGAAGATCAATAGCATTTTTACATTGGAGATCACACACTTCAAGACCATGAACAATATAGGTGTTCATGACATGTGGTACTCCCATAGTGTCAAGTGTAATATTCACTTTTCTTCCGCTCAAACCAAGGTTCCTTACTAAACTTTCAGTACAGAAATTGATGCTGCTCCCAGGGTCGAGAAATGCGTAAGTTTCAATTGCCCGGCTACTATGCTTAACTCGTATTTTCACATGAACAATTGTCATGGTACATTCACCATCTCCGGCCCCCATATAACACTGTTCCATTGAAGCCATACTTGCCCAGGCACTCACAGGTCCAGGCTCAACCTTTGAGTTACCACCATTTCGTCTATCACCATTCTGAGATTTATCTTTTTCTTTAATATGTAAAAGTGTGGGATGCAGTCTTTTGCAATGTACACACGTCTCTTTAAACCGACAGTACTTCTTCTGGTGACCTATTTTGAGACATCCAAAGCAGAGTCCCTTGGACTTCAGGAAACTGATTCTGTCATCATGTGATTGTGCTGCCAACAGGCGACAGGCTTCCATAGCATGACTTGTACCATCACAATATATACATGGCTTGTCTTGAGGCTTCCTTGCTTGCTGAACATCAGTAGCACTCTTCTCATTCTCTTTATAACAAGAAGTTTCCTTTGGGTCTTGTTTCTGAGTATTTTGTTGTGCATCTGTAACCGTAGCAAAACTTGCCTTAGATGCTCTAGATTGTTGTCGTCTTTGGTTGCCGTCCTTGTTTTTGCCCTCTTCATGGTCAGTCCTGAGTGCATCTTTGCCATATATAGGGTCATTTACCTTTTTGGCTTCTTTCTTAATGAACTTTACAAGGACTCCAAACTCAACAATATCACCCCTTTCTTTAATGCCCTGCACAACACCTCTCCACTTCTCCTGCAGACTGGATGGTAACTTCTTAACTAGACTTGCCATGTTTTGGGGAAATTGTATTATTTTCACTGCATCAATACTTTGAACAGCATATTCGCATTCTTGTAGAAAAATGGAAAACGCATCCAATGCCTTCACATCATGAGCCTTTATGCTTGGCCAGCGTAAAGCTTCTTCCACATATGAGTTGGCAATCATCTCATTATCACCATACCTTTCTTCCAGTTCCCTGCGGGCAGCTGGATATCCCTGTTCTGGACTCAGATTACCATACCCAGTTACAATCTTATTTGCTTCTCCCACTGTGTATAATTCTAAATAATTCATCAGCTCCTCTGCGTTACTTGTGTTAGCTACAACTCTGGAAGTGAACTGACGCATAAACTTTCTATATTGCATAGGGATACCACTAAATTTGTTGATGTCGGATTGGGGTTTCTTTAATTCCCGCACAACTGCCAAAATGACTTCATCAGATGATTTGTGATTAGAGACAAGGGAACCGGAATCAGAATCACTCCGAAGACCACCCACGCGGCGCATGTCATGCACACTGCCCGCAAAGCCAGGGCCGCAATTATTGTGCACACTATCACCCCGCGCATAATGCATAGAATTCGCGCTGCGCTCATCATCAAATTTATCGAGAACTTTGGTCTTTGCCTCTGCGATGGCCATCTCTGTTTCCAAGGCTAATTTTTCCTCTCGCAACTTTAAAGCTATTTTTGCTTCCTCTTGTTGAATTCTTTCAATCTCCAGTTTCTTGCGCTGGTCTAATGCAGCAACCCTAGCCAACAGTTCTGCTTTACGCTGTTCTTCCTTCAATCTAGCAGCAGATAGTAAACTGGATCGAGAAGAGGCTACACTACTTTGATATCTTCCTAATCTATTTCGTGTATAAGTACCAACAGTGGAAACGCTGTCTTCTGGACTTATTCCGTGTGTCTTCCTTGATTGAGAATCTTGTTTACTAATCCAGTCACTCACTTTACGGTTAAAGCCTTGAAACGCCCTTTCATCCTTTTCAAACCAACTTGACTGAAATTCCCACTGCTCTTGGCCGGACAGGTATTTGACATATGCATCATGGGTATCCAGAAATTCTTCATATACTTCCATCCACGCTGTATATTTTTTTCTCACAACGTTTACATCTGTGGGTGTTTCCATTTGACCCAGTATTTGGTCTGTCATGGCATGCAGCTGCGTGCACAGTGACTTCAGTTTCTTTCTATTAATTTCCATTGCATATTCAAAACCCTTATCAGTGGGTATTTTTATCCGGGTACTGCGACGGACATCTGAATGATCACTACTCACGTGACTTCCCTTTCTGGCGGACCCTTGTGCACCAAGTGTTTCTTTGATGAAACTACGCATACTCAAATTTGGGTCAGTATATCGATGATCCATGTTCAAGACAACAACTTGCCTATTACGTCAATAGAATGTAGGACGCAAACAAAAAGGCTAATGATTGGTCCCTTGTTGGATTATTGGGAGTTGTCAATGCGCTCTCCAAAAATATAAGAAACAAATGTCCGAACATAAACTTGACACTTTATTCCTTTCCACCACTGAGAAACGATTGACTGAAAGGTATACAGAGAAATAAAGCACATAAGTAAACAATACATTTCACGTAATCGATTGATATGCATAGTATACATGTACATTTTGTACAGTAATATTACTATCATCACAGTTAGCGACTACCTCACAAAAGGTAAAGATATCACAACACATCTTAGAAATACATGGAATTACACGCAGTAGATCATAAAGCGTAAAGACTAGCGTGATCGGTAAACACGAGTCACATGTATACGAAGCAATGACCTCAAACAAACGTCGCAAAAGTCAGCAGTTCGTAACAAAGAAATCATATTTATGCTCACCGTAATATTAGACCCCAACAACCAACAACCTAAACTTCGCTTAGTGTAGTTCACTCGACTGCTGTAATTCATGCAAATGCGTCAAAACACCAGCAAGACATGATGCGATCCGCCATTTCTCTCTGCTTTTTCCCGGTGCTATAAATAGCCACCTTACCAAATCTCAACTACAGAGGGCGATGGACTGTACAATAGCAAATTAGTATAACGTTATTTGGCCATAACATCCCGGCCTCCTAATTGTGTAAATACTTGAAACAATTACAAATAAGAAAGAAGGACAAATAAATCAACATGAATACGATGAGTCCATCGCATATAACAACATGTGTTGATGCCAAAAAAGGAACGCTGCGAGCAAAAACGGGTACATAGTGCACACAACGCAAACAACGCAAACAACACAAACAGCGCGCAAAACACACACAGCCAGGATAGCCCACACAGCAATCCGACCCACAGGCTCCCAGATCTCCAAACCGGATATCCTGAAACAGTCATCCTGGAAAGTCAGAAAGTCAAGTACCACCACAGACAACATCAGCTTCCAAAATTATGCACAACTTGTCAATAGGACGTTCAAGGACATTTGAGCTTGTTTTCACTTTGGCTACTCTGACCAAGTCATTGCGGTCCCTCATAACTTCAATAACTCTTCCCATCGGCCAGGAGTTCCTTGGTGATGAGTTGTCTACTACCAGAACTATATCATCTACTGCCAGGTTTCTCCGAGGTTTTAACCACTTCTGGCGCTCTTGAAGCATTGGTAGATACTCTCTTAACCACCGTTTCCAAAACATGTCTGCGAGATATTGGATCTGGCGCCACCTACGACGTACATAATTATCATGACTTTGGAACACTCCTGGTGGTAAACTCTGATTGGACTGAAGAAGTAGCAAATGATTTGGCGTAAGTGGTTCTAAGTCATTCGGGTCATCTGAAAGCTGTGTTATTGGCCGACTATTTATAATGTTTTCCACTTCACAGAACAATGTAGCAAGACCCTCGTCATCCAAGTGAATGACTTGTTCTTTCAACAATCCAAAGAGAACCTTCCGCACCGTTCTGACTTGTCGCTCCCACACTCCACCGAAATGGGACCCAGCTGGAGGGTTAAACTCCCATCTAATATTGCTTTGTTGTAATGTTCCAGAGATTCTACTATGGTTCCACCTATTTATTTCATCACGTAACTCATGATTGGCTCCAACCAAATTTGTTCCATTATCCGACCGCACAATCTTGACCTGACCTCTTCGTGCCATGAATCTGCGCAATGCATTAATGCATGAGTCAGTAGTAAGCGAATGAGCCACTTCTAAGTGTATAGCTCTGGTTGCCAAGCACGTGAAAACAACACCGTATCTCTTGATAACACTCCGAGCACGTTTAACTAATATAGGTCCAAAATAATCCACACCACTACGTGTGAAAGGGGGTTCATCTGGTGTTAAACGGTCCACAGGCAAACTTGCCATCTTTTGCTCACCAGCTTTGGCTCGATATCTGCGGCATATAACACATTTCGAGATAATTCTCCGAATGATTGTATTTGCACAAAGGATCCAAAAGTGTTGCCTTAGCTTAGCTAACATCGAATTCCTTCCTAGGTGCCCAACAGTTTTGTGTACGTCTTGCAAAATTAGATTTGCTACAGGAGAATCCTTAGGTATAATAATTGGATGCTTCTCATCATCTGACAGTGCTGCACGATGCAGGCGTCCACCAACTCTGATAAGACCATCTACCAGAATTGGATCAAGTTTATAGACACGGCTTGTCTTCTTAACAGTCATTCTAGTCTTATTATGAAGACCTTTGAGAAGTATATCCAACTCATCTTGGAAGTGACTTCTTTGTACATAAGTCACAATGCATCTTTCTGCCTCCTGTAGTATGTCGATATCAAGAGATGCAGACTTGAGGTTTACTCTGGACCTCATTTTTCTCATCTTGTCATCAACAAGCTGCTCTTGTTTTTTAGGATCTACATCTGCAGAGATACTTTCTCGCACTTCTTCTCAATACCTTTAAGTCGTTTGGTAGCTTGTTGTTTGGCAGCTTCACATCATCATCTCGAAACGGTAAACTTATCTGATAATGTCCATTAACATGACTGATGGATTCATTCACTTTCATTGTGAACATCTTGTCTTCCTGGGAGGGCTCCCTCTTGTCGTCAACTGCACGCTCAGGAAAATCAAAATTGATAGAGCTTCTTACCATAAGGTCCAACTGCTTCAGCTCTTCTGATTCCTGTACAGCAATAATATCAGCTCTGTTAACTGTGTAGCTACCTTGCTCTCTGTTATCTTCACCGCGAACTACATTCCACAAAGTCCACCCAAGACGAGTTCTGGAGGCATGAGGACTACCTTGTGGGCCGGTGACTATTTCCAGAGGCGTGTATGCATCTGGTATCGCATTCCCAATCAACAAACCCACATCAGCGTTAATCTGGGGGACATGAACTCCCTGAAGATGGGACCAATGAGAAATATCATCCTGGGTTGGAATGTAATGTCGAGACACTGGCATCTTATCCTTTGTGTAAACCTTTGGAAGATCAATAGCATTTTTACATTGGAGATCACACACTTCAAGACCATGAACAATATAGGTGTTCATGACATGTGGTACTCCCATAGTGTCAAGTGTAATCTTCACTTTTCTTCCGCTCAAACCAAGTTTCCTTACTAAACTTTCAGTACAGAAATTGATGCTGCTCCCAGGGTCGAGAAATGCGTAAGTTTCAATTGCCCGGCTACTATGCTTAACTCGTATTTTCACAGGAACAATTGTCATGGTACATTCACCATCTCCGGCCCCCATATAACACTGTTCCTTTGAAGCCATACTTGCCCAGGCACTCACAGGTCCAGGCTCAACCTTTGAGTTACCACCATTTCGTCTATCACCATTCTGAGATTTATCTTTTTCTTTAATATGTAAAAGTGTGGGATGCAGTCTTTTGCAATGTACACACGTCTCTTTAAACCGACAGTACTTCTTCTGGTGACCTATTTTGAGACATCCAAAGCAGAGTCCCTTGGACTTCAGGAAACTGATTCTGTCATCATGTGATTGTGCTGCCAACAGGCGACAGGCTTCCATAGTATGACTTGTACCATCACAATATATACATGGCTTGTCTTGAGGCTTCCTTGCTTGCTGAACATCAGTAGCACTCTTCTCATTCTCTTTATAACAAGAAGTTTCCTTTGGGTCTTGTTTCTGAGTATTTTGTTGTGCATCTGTAACCGTAGCAAAACTTGCCTTAGATGCTCTAGATTGTTGTCGTCTTTGGTTGCCGTCTTTGTTTTTGCCCTCTTCATGGTCAGTCCTGAGTGCATCTTTGCCATATATAGGGTCATTTACCTTTTTGGCTTCTTTCTTAATGAACTTTACAAGGACTCCAAACTCAACAATATCACCCCTTTCTTTAATGCCTTGCACAACACCTCTCCACTTCTCCTGCAGACTGGATGGTAACTTCTTAACTAGACTTGCCATGTTTTGGGGAAATTGTATTATTTTCACTGCATCAATACTTTGAACAGCATATTCGCATTCTTGTAGAAAAATGGAAAACGCATCCAATGCCTTCACATCATGAGCCTTTATGCTTGGCCAGCGTAAAGCTTCTTCCACATATGAGTTGGCAATCACCTCATTATCACCATACCTTTCTTCCAGTTCCCTGCGGGCAGCTGGATATCCCTGTTCTGGACTCAGATTACCATACCCAGTTACAATCTTATTTGCTTCTCCCACTGTGTATAGTTCTAAATAATTCATCAGCTCCTCTGCGTTACTTGTGTTAGCTACAACTCTGGAAGTGAACTGACGCATAAACTTTCTATATTGCATAGGGTTACCACTAAATTTGTTGATGTCGGATTGGGGTTTCTTTAATTCCCGCACAACTGCCAAAATGACTTCATCAGATGATTTGTGATTAGAGACAAGGGAACCGGAATCAGAATCACTCCGAAGACCACCCACGCGGCGCATGTCATGCACACTGCCCGCAAAGCCAGGGCCGCAATTATTGTGCACACTATCACCCCGCGCATAATGCATAGAATTCGCGCTGCGCTCATCAACACGCCTGTCACATGAAATGAACTCACCTCTATCCAGTGCTGGTGCCTTCACAACCGGTCGTGACTCATCATGTTTCCAATCTTTGGCAGGCTGTTCATCAATGCAAACATTATCTTGACATCTTGAATCATATTGTTCTTGTTTTATCACTTGATGTCTGTATGGTATATAGTCTCTACTCTGCTGATCATATCCACTTAATTCAAATTTATCGAGAACTTTGGTCTTTGCCTCTGCGATGGCCATCTCTGTTTCCAAGGCTAATTTTTCCTCTCGCAACTTTAAAGCTATTTTTGCTTCCTCTTGTTGAATTCTTTCAATCTCCAGTTTCTTGCGCTGGTCTAATGCAGCAACCCTAGCCAACAGTTCTGCTTTACGCTGTTCTTCCTTCAATCTAGCAGCAGATAGTGAACTGGATCGAGAAGAGGCTACACTACTTTGATATCTTCCTAATCTATTTCGTGTATAAGTACCAACACTGGAAACGCTGTCTTCTGGACTTATTCCGTGTGTCTTCCTTGATTGAGAATCTTGTTTACTAATCCAGTCACTCACTTTACGGTTAAAGCCTTGAAACGCCCTTTCATGCTTTTCAAACCAACTTGACTGAAATTCCCACTGCTCTTGGCCGGACAGGTATTTGACATATGCATCATGGGTATCCAGAAATTCTTCATATACTTCCATCCACGCTGTATATTTTTTTCTCACAACGTTTACATCTGTGGGTGTTTCCATTTGACCCAGTATTTGGTCTGTCATGGCATGCAGCTGCGTGCACAGTGACTTCAGTTTCTTTCTATTAATTTCCATTGCATATTCAAAACCCTTATCAGTGGGTATTTTTATCCGGGTACTGCGACGGACATCTGAATGATCACTACTCATGTGACTTCCCTTTCTGGCGGACCCTTGTGCACCAAGTGTTTCTTTGATGAAACTACGCATACTCAAATTTGGGTCAGTATATCGATGATCCATGTTCAAGACAACAACTTGCCTATTACGTCAATAGAATGTAGACGCAAACAAAAAGGCTAATGATCGGTCCCTTGTTGGATTATTGGGGAGTTGTCAATGCGCTCTCCAAAAATATAAGAAACAAATGTCCGAACATAAACTTGACACTTTATTCCTTTCCACCACTGAGAAACGATTGACTGAAAGGTATACAGAGAAATAAAGCACATAAGTAAACAATACATTTCACGTAATCGATTGATATGCATAGTATACATGTACATTTTGTACAGTAATATTACTATCATCACAGTTAGCGACTACCTCACAAAAGGTAAAGATATCACAACACATCTTACACGCAGTAGATCGTAAAGCGTAAAGACTAGCGTGATCGGTAAACACGAGTCACATGTATACGAAGCAATGACCTCAAACAAACGTCGCAAAAGTCAGCAGTTCGTAACAAAGAAATCATATTTATGCTCACCGTAATATTAGACCCCAACAACCAACAACCTAAACTTCGCTTAGTGTAGTTCACTCGACTGCTGTAATTCATGCAAATGCGTCAAAACACCAGCAACACATGATGCGATCCGCCATTTCTCTCTGCTTTTTCCCGGTGCTATAAATAGCCACCTTACCAAATCTCAACTACAGAGGGCGATGGACTGTACAATAGCAAATTAGTATAACGTTATTTGGCCATAACATCCCGGCCTCCTAATTGTGTAAATACTTGAAACAATTACAAATAAGAAAGAAGGACAAATAAATCAACATGAATACGATGAGTCCATCGCATGTAACATGTGTTGATGCCAAAAAAGGAACGCTGCGAGCAAAAACGGGTACATAGTGCACACAACGCAAACAACGCAAACAACACAAACAGCGCGCAAAACACACACAGCCAGGATAGCCCACACAGCAATCCGACCCACAGGCTCCCAGATCTCCAAACCGGATATCCTGAAACAGTCATCCTGGAAAGTCAGAAAGTCAAGTACCACCACAGACAACATCAGCTTCCAAAATTATGCACAACTTGTCAATAGGACGTTCAAGGACATTTGAGCTTGTTTTCACTTTGGCTACTCTGACCAAGTCATTGCGGTCCCTCATAACTTCAATAACTCTTCCCATCGGCCAGGAGTTCCTTGGTGATGAGTTGTCTACCACCAGAACTATATCATCTACTGCCAGGTTTCTCCGAGGTTTTAACCACTTCTGGCGCTCTTGAAGCATTGGTAGATACTCTCTTAACCACCGTTTCCAAAACATGTCTGCGAGATATTGGATCTGGCGCCACCTACGACGTACATAATTATCATGACTTTGGAACACTCCTGGTGGTAAACTCTGATTGGACTGAAGAAGTAGCAAATGATTTGGCGTAAGTGGTTCTAAGTCATTCGGGTCATCTGAAAGCTGTGTTATTGGCCGACTATTTATAATGTTTTCCACTTCACAGAACAGTGTAGCAAGACCCTCGTCATCCAAGTGAATGACTTGTTCTTTCAACAATCCAAAGAGAACCTTCCGCACCGTTCTGACTTGTCGCTCCCACACTCCACCGAAATGGGACCCAGCTGGAGGGTTAAACTCCCATCTAATATTGCTTTGTTGTAATGTTCCAGAGATTCTACTATGGTTCCACCTATTTATTTCATCACGTAACTCATGATTGGCTCCAACCAAATTTGTTCCATTATCCGACCGCACAATCTTGACCTGACCTCTTCGTGCCATGAATCTGCGCAATGCATTAATGCATGAGTCAGTAGTAAGCGAATGAGCCACTTCTAAGTGTATAGCTCTGGTAGCCAAGCACGTGAAAACAACACCGTATCTCTTGATAACACTCCGAGCACGTTTAACTAATATAGGTCCAAAATAATCCACACCACTACGTGTGAAAGGGGGTTCATCTGGTGTTAAACGGTCCACAGGCAAACTTGCCATCTTTTGCTCACCAGCTTTGGCTCGATATCTGCGGCATATAACACATTTCGAGATAATTCTCCGAATGATTGTATTTGCACAAAGGATCCAAAAGTGTTGCCTTAGCTTAGCTAACATCGAATTCCTTCCTAGGTGCCCAACAGTTTTGTGTACGTCTTGCAAAATTAGATTTGCTACAGGAGAATCCTTAGGTATAATAATTGGATGCTTCTCATCATCTGACAGTGCTGCACGATGCAGGCGTCCACCAACTCTGATAAGACCATCTTCCAGAATTGGATCAAGTTTATAGACACGGCTTGTCTGCTTAACAGTCATTCTAGTCTTACTATGAAGACCTTTGAGAAGTATATCCAACTCATCTTGGAAGTGACTTCTTTGTACATAAGTCACAATGCATCTTTCTGCCTCTTGTAGTGTGTCGATATCAAGAGATGCAGACTTGAGGTTTACTCTGGACCTCATTTTTCTCATCTTGTCATCAACAAGCTGCTCTTGTTTTTTAGGATCTACATCTGCAGAGATACTTTCTCGCACTTGTTTTCGCAGATTGGCCCAATGTTGTAAATTTCTCTTACCAGTTAAGATCCATCCAACTGTCCGCTTCAGTGACATCCAGCTTGAAAAACGAGAAATGAGACTACTCATGAAGCTAGATTGCTCATCTATCAGAACAACATTTGAGAGCTTTTTCACTTCAGGATCCTCATCATGAATCCTCTCTAAGACTACTTGATTCTCTGGCCATTCCGATTCTGGAGACCACAGAAAATCAGGACCAGTAACCCATCTCTTGCATTTTATGAAGTCAGTTATTATCAAACCCCTTGAAGCATCATCTGCTGGGTTTAATTTCGTATTTATGTACCTCCACTGAGACACTTCTGATCCCTCACGAATTGTAGACACACGGTTAGAGACAAACGTATGGAAGCGTGTAGTCTCATTAGTGATGTATCTCAGCACTGACATGCTATCTGTCCAAAAATAGGACTTGTCAATGTTGTAATCCAACTCTCTCTTCAGTTTGTCATTCATTCGTACTGAAAGCGTTGCTGCAGTCAGTTCCATGCGGGGTATCGTCACCTTTTTAAGGGGTGCAACCCTAGATTTTCCCAGAAGTATGGAGCAATGAATTTCTCCTCTCTTATTGACCAGACGCAGATACGATACCATCCCATATCCTTGTTCACTGGCATCACTGAAATTATGTACTTGACATGAAAGTACTTCGCCAAAATGTTTAGGTTTATAACACCTCGCAACTGAGAATGACTCCAATTTTGGCAAGCCAGACAGCCATTTATGCCACACCTGAAGACCAGCCCCTTCAATAGGCCTATCCCATCCACTGCCTTGCTGCCACAAGCTTTGTAAAAGTATTCTTGCTGGGAGTATAAATGGTGACACAAGGCCGAGAGGATCATAGATGGAACTGACGATGGACAATATTCCCCTCCTAGTGGTTGGTCGGTCTTGCACAATAATTTTGAAGCCAAGCATGTCTGGTTCAACCAACCAAAACACCCCTAAAGCACGCTCAACAGGAAGATCATCATAGTCGAGGTTAAGTTGCTTAACTTCCTTAGAACGCTCTTCAGTCTGAATCGATTCTAAGACAACGCGACTGTTACTCATCCATTTTGTTAGGTTAAACCCACCTCGTTGACACAGATCTCTCAGGTCATGTACCAAACTTATAGCCTTAGTTTCAGATTCTACAGACTTTAAACAGTCATCAACATAGAAGTTTCTGAGGACTGTATTCACGACATCTGCACCAAAGAAGTTTTTGTTGTCTTCAGCGGTTCTTTGAAGTGCAGTATTGGCACAGCTGGGGGAAGATACCGCCCCAAACAAATGAACTGTCATGGCATATACTTCCGGTTGTCTGTCTAAGTCACCATTAGGCCACCACAAAAACCGCAGACAGTCACAGTCACCTTTTGGGATCCATACCTGATGAAACATTGCTTCAATGTCAGCCATCAAAGCGACGGGCTCTTGTCTGAAGCGTAGCAACACACCAAGTAAGTTGTTTGTTAAATCTGGCCCTTGTAACAGATGATCATTCAATGCTGTTCCCTGGAACCTGGCTGCACAGTCAAAAACAACACGTATCTTCCCTGGTTTTCGTGGGTGGTAAACACCGTGATGAGGAACATACCAAACTTTACCATCACTTCTACCAAGTTTATCTTCATGAACTTTCACTGCATATCCTTTACTAATAATACTTTCCATGAAGGCTGTGTAATCCATGTAGAATTCAGGATACTTTCTCAACTTCTTCTCAATACCTTTAAGTCGTTTGGTAGCATATTCTTTGTTGTTTGGCAGCTTCACATCATCATCTCGAAACGGTAAACTTATCTGATAATGTCCATTAACATGACTGATGGATTCATTCACTTTCATTGTGAACATCTTGTCTTCCTGGGAGGGCTCCCTCTTGTCGTCAACTGCACGCTCAGGAAAATCAAAATTGATAGAGCTTCTTACCATAAGGTCCAACTGCTTCAGCTCTTCTGATTCCTGTACAGCAATAATATCAGCTCTGTTAACTGTGTAGCTACCTTGCTCTCTGTTATCTTCACCGCGAACTACATTCCACAAAGTCCACCCAAGACGAGTTCTGGAGGCATGAGGACTACCTTGTGGGCCGGTGACTATTTCCAGAGGCGTGTATGCATCTGGTATCGCATTCCCAATCAACAAACCCACATCAGCGTTAATCTGGGGGACATGAACTCCCTGAAGATGGGACCAATGAGAAATATCATCCTGGGTTGGAATGTAATGTCGAGACACTGGCATCTTATCCTTTGTGTAAACCTTTGGAAGATCAATAGCATTTTTACATTGGAGATCACACACTTCAAGACCATGAACAATATAGGTGTTCATGGCATGTGGTACTCCCATAGTGGCAAGTGTAATCTTCACTTTTCTTCCGCTCAAACCAAGTTTCCTTACTAAACTTTCAGTACAGAAATTGATGCTGCTCCCAGGGTCGAGAAATGCGTAAGTTTCAATTGCCCGGCTACTATGCTTAACTCGTATTTTCACAGGAACAATTGTCATGGTACATTCACCATCTCCGGCCCCCATATAACACTGTTCCTTTGAAGCCATACTTGCCCAGGCACTCACAGGTCCAGGCTCAACCTTTGAGTTACCACCATTTCGTCTATCACCATTCTGAGATTTATCTTTTTCTTTAATATGTAAAAGTGTGGGATGCAGTCTTTTGCAATGTACACACGTCTCTTTAAACCGACAGTACTTCTTCTGGTGACCTATTTTGAGACATCCAAAGCAGAGTCCCTTGGACTTCAGGAAACTGATTCTGTCATCATGTGATTGTGCTGCCAACAGGCGACAGGCTTCCATAGCATGACTTGTACCATCACAATATATACATGGCTTGTCTTGAGGCTTCCTTGCTTGCTGAACATCAGTAGCACTCTTCTCATTCTCTTTATAACAAGAAGTTTCCTTTGGGTCTTGTTTCTGAGTATTTTGTTGTGCATCTGTAACCGTAGCAAAACTTGCCTTAGATGCTCTAGATTGTTGTCGTCTTTGGTTGCCGTCCTTGTTTTTGCCCTCTTCATGGTCAGTCCTGAGTGCATCTTTGCCATATATAGGGTCATTTACCTTTTTGGCTTCTTTCTTAATGAACTTTACAAGGACTCCAAACTCAACAATATCACCCCTTTCTTTAATGCCTTGCACAACACCTCTCCACTTCTCCTGCAGACTGGATGGTAACTTCTTAACTAGACTTGCCATGTTTTGGGGAAATTGTATTATTTTCACTGCATCAATACTTTTAACAGCATATTCGCATTCTTGTAGAAAAATGGAAAACGCATCCAATGCCTTCACATCATGAGCCTTTATGCTTGGCCAGCGTAAAGCTTCTTCCACATATGAGTTGGCAATCACCTCATTATCACCATACCTTTCTTCCAGTTCCCTGCGGGCAGCTGGATATCCCTGTTCTGGACTCAGATTACCATACCCAGTTACAATCTTATTTGCTTCTCCCACTGTGTATAATTCTAAATAATTCATCAGCTCCTCTGCGTTACTTGTGTTAGCTACAACTCTGGAAGTGAACTGACGCATAAACTTTCTATATTGCATAGGGTTACCACTAAATTTGTTGATGTCGGATTGGGGTTTCTTTAATTCCCGCACAACTGCCAAAATGACTTCATCAGATGATTTGTGATTAGAGACAAGGGAACCGGAATCAGAATCACTCCGAAGACCACCCACGCGGCGCATGTCATGCACACTGCCCGCAAAGCCAGGGCCGCAATTATTGTGCACACTATCACCCCGCGCATAATGCATAGAATTCGCGCTGCGCTCATCAACACGCCTGTCACATGAAATGAACTCACCTCTATCCAGTGCTGGTGCCTTCACAACTGGTTGTGACTCATCATGTTTCCAATCTTTGGCAGGCTGTTCATCAATGCAAACATTATCTTGACATCTTGAATCATATTGTTCTTGTTTTATCACTTGATGTCTGTATGGTATATAGTCTCTACTCTGCTGATCATATCCACTTAATTCAAATTTATCGAGAACTTTGGTCTTTGCCTCTGCGATGGCCATCTCTGTTTCCAAGGCTAATTTTTCCTCTCGCAACTTTAAAGCTATTTTTGCTTCCTCTTGTTGAATTCTTTCAATCTCCAGTTTCTTGCACTGGTCTAATGCAGCAACCCTAGCCAACAGTTCTGCTTTACGCTGTTCTTCCTTCAATCTAGCAGCAGATAGTGAACTGGATCGAGAAGAGGCTACACTACTTTGATATCTTCCTAATCTATTTCGTGTATAAGTACCAACACTGGAAACGCTGTCTTCTGGACTTATTCCGTGTGTCTTCCTTGATTGAGAATCTTGTTTACTAATCCAGTCACTCACTTTATGGTTAAAGCTATGAAACGCCCTTTCATGCTTTTCAAACCAACTTGACTGAAATTCCCACTGCTCTTGGCCGGACAGGTATTTGACATATGCATCATGGGTATCCAGAAATTCTTCATATACTTCCATCCACGCTGTATATTTTTTTCTCACAACGTTTACATCTGTGGGTGTTTCCATTTGACCCAGTATTTGGTCTGTCATGGCATGCAGCTGCGTGCACAGTGACTTCAGTTTCTTTCTATTAATTTCCATTGCATATTCAAAACCCTTATCAGTGGGTATTTTTATCCGGGTACTGCGACGGACATCTGAATGATCACTACTCATGTGACTTCCCTTTCTGGCGGACCCTTGTGCACCAAGTGTTTCTTTGATGAAACTACGCATACTCAAATTTGGGTCAGTATATCGATGATCCATGTTCAAGACAACAACTTGCCTATTACGTCAATAGAATGTAGGACGCAAACAAAAAGGCTAATGATCGGTCCCTTGTTGGATTATTGGGAGTTGTCAATGCGCTCTCCAAAAATATAAGAAACAAATGTCCGAACATAAACTTGACACTTTATTCCTTTCCACCACTGAGAAACGATTGACTGAAAGGTATACAGAGAAATAAAGCACATAAGTAAACAATACATTTCACGTAATCGATTGATATGCATAGTATACATGTACATTTTGTACAGTAATATTACTATCATCACAGTTAGCGACTACCTCACAAAAGGTAAAGATATCACAACACATCTTAGAAATACATGGAATTACACGCAGTAGATCGTAAAGCGTAAAGACTAGCGTGATCGGTAAACACGAGTCACATGTATACGAAGCAATGACCTCAAACAAACGTCGCAAAAGTCAGCAGTTCGTAACAAAGAAATCATATTTATGCTCACCGTAATATTAGACCCCAACAACCAACAACCTAAACTTCGCTTAGTGTAGTTCACTCGACTGCTGTAATTCATGCAAATGCGTCAAAACACCAGCAAGACATGATGCGATCCGCCATTTCTCTCTGCTTTTTCCCGGTGCTATAAATAGCCACCTTACCAAATCTCAACTACAGAGGGCGATGGACTGTACAATAGCAAATTAGTATAACGTTATTTGGCCATAACATCCCGGCCTCCTAATTGTGTAAATACTTGAAACAATTACAAATAAGAAAGAAGGACAAATAAATCAACATGAATACGATGAGTCCATCGCATGTAACAACATGTGTTGATGCCAAAAAAGGAACGCTGCGAGCAAAAACGGGTACATAGTGCACACAACGCAAACAACGCAAACAACACAAACAGCGCGCAAAACACACACAGCCAGGATAGCCCACACAGCAATCCGACCCACAGGCTCCCAGATCTCCAAACCGGATATCCTGAAACAGTCATCCTGGAAAGTCAGAAAGTCAAGTACCACCACAGACAACATCAGCTTCCAAAATTATGCACAACTTGTCAATAGGACGTTCAAGGACATTTGAGCTTGTTTTCACTTTGGCTACTCTGACCAAGTCATTGCGGTCCCTCATAACTTCAATAACTCTTCCCATCGGCCAGGAGTTCCTTGGTGATGAGTTGTCTACCACCAGAACTATATCATCTACTGCCAGGTTTCTCCGAGGTTTTAACCACTTCTGGCGCTCTTGAAGCATTGGTAGATACTCTCTTAACCACCGTTTCCAAAACATGTCTGCGAGATATTGGATCTGGCGCCACCTACGACGTACATAATTATCATGACTTTGGAACACTCCTGGTGGTAAACTCTGATTGGACTGAAGAAGTAGCAAATGATTTGGCGTAAGTGGTTCTAAGTCATTCGGGTCATCTGAAAGCTGTGTTATTGGCCGACTATTTATAATGTTTTCCACTTCACAGAACAATGTAGCAAGACCCTCGTCATCCAAGTGAATGACTTGTTCTTTCAACAATCCAAAGAGAACCTTCCGCACCGTTCTGACTTGTCGCTCCCACACTCCACCGAAATGGGACCCAGCTGGAGGGTTAAACTCCCATCTAATATTGCTTTGTTGTAATGTTCCAGAGATTCTACTATGGTTCCACCTATTTATTTCATCACGTAACTCATGATTGGCTCCAACCAAATTTGTTCCATTATCCGACCGCACAATCTTGACCTGACCTCTTCGTGCCATGAATCTGCGCAATGCATTAATGCATGAGTCAGTAGTAAGCGAATGAGCCACTTCTAAGTGTATAGCTCTGGTTGCCAAGCACGTGAAAACAACACCGTATCTCTTGATAACACTCCGAGCACGTTTAACTAATATAGGTCCAAAATAATCCACACCACTACGTGTGAAAGGGGGTTCATCTAGTGTTAAACGGTCCACAGGCAAACTTGCCATCTTTTGCTCACCAGCTTTGGCTCGATATCTGCGGCATATAACACATTTCGAGATAATTCGCCGAATGATTGTATTTGCACAAAGGATCCAAAAGTGTTGCCTTAGCTTAGCTAACATCGAATTCCTTCCTAGGTGCCCAACAGTTTTGTGTACGTCTTGCAAAATTAGATTTGCTACAGGAGAATCCTTAGGTATAATAATTGGATGCTTCTCATCATCTGACAGTGCTGCACGATGCAGGCGTCCACCAACTCTGATAAGACCATCTTCCAGAATTGGATCAAGTTTATAGACACGGCTTGCCTTCTTAACAGTCATTCTAGTCTTATTATGAAGACCTTTGAGAAGTATATCCAACTCATCTTGGAAGTGACTTCTTTGTACATAAGTCACAATGCATCTTTCTGCCTCCTGTAGTATGTCGATATCAAGAGATGCAGACTTGAGGTTTACTCTGGACCTCATTTTTCTCATCTTGTCATCAACAAGCTGCTCTTGTTTTTTAGGATCTACATCTGCAGAGATACTTTCTCGCACTTGTTTTCGCAGATTGGCCCAATGTTGTTAAGATCCAGTTAAGATCCATCCAACTGTCCGCTTCAGTGACATCCAGCTTGAAAAACGAGAAATGAGACTACTCATGAAGCTAGATTGCTCATCTATCAGAACAACATTTGAGAGCTTTTTCACTTCAGGATCCTCATCATGAATCCTCTCTAAGACTACTTGATTCTCTGGCCATTCCGATTCTGGAGACCACAGAAAATCAGGACCAGTAACCCATCTCTTGCATTTTATGAAGTCAGTTATTATCAAACCCCTTGAAGCATCATCTGCTGGGTTTAATTTCGTATTTATGTACCTCCACTGAGACACTTCTGATCCCTCACGAATTGTA